TGGTGATATCCTGATCTTCAATCTATTTTAGAAAATACAAAAGCTCCTCTTAATTGATCTAACAAATTATCTATTCTTGGAAGAGGATATTTATTCTTTATGGTGAATTTATTTAACTAATGATAATCTACGCACAACCTAAAACTGCCATCTTTCTTCTTAACTAATAAAACAGGAGCTCCCCAAAGTGATACACTAGGACGAATGAATTGTTTCCCAAGTAATTCTTTCAATTATTTTTTCAGTTTTGTCAGTTCAGAAGGGGATATCATATATGGTGCCATAGAAATTGGTCCAGTTCCAGACATTAAATCTATTGAAAATTCAATCTCTTTGTTGGGTGGTAAACCAGGAATATCATCAGGAAAATTTTGAACAACTGCTATTTTTTTCAAATCGACTTCCTCTTTTACTTCCACAGAAGATAGTAACAAATATCCTTGAATTTTGTTCTTCAAAGACTCATTTACTGAGTTGGTAGAAAAACTCAAAAGATTTTTAGAATTTGAACATATTACTAATTTTTCTGCACAATTTAGAAGGACTTGATTGGAAGATAACCAGTCTATACCCAGGATTACATCCAATTGAGATAAAGGTAGACAAATTAAATTTACAAGGAATTTCTTGTTTTCAACGAACAAAGGACAATCTAGACAAATTTTATTGGTGATTACAGACTTACTTGTGGGAGTTGAAACAATCAAACTAGTATCTAGAAAAGAAGTTGGCAATTCAAGGTGTTGGATACAATCATTGGAAATGAATGAATGAGTTGCGCCTGAGTCATACAATACATTTAAAGTTTTCCCTTTAATGAATCACATACCTTGGATCAAATCATTATTTTATGAAGCTTCAGTTCCATTCATGGTATATACTCTTCCTGTTGTCGGAGGTCTTCTTTTTGGTGTAGAAGGATCAGAATTTGGTTTTTGTTGCCGACATTCAGAGAATATATGACCAGATTTTCCACACTTGAAACAGACAGGTACTTTAAGATGACAATTTTTAGCATAATGATCTTGTCCGCACTTGAAGCACTTGAGCTGACTATTTACAGGTTTATTAAAATTTCCTACGGAAAATTGGCTGGGTTGGGATCTCCATTGGGGGTGGTTGTAAGGTTTTTCTTCATTTTGTCTCCTTTTATTATGCTGGGGTCTAAAAGATTTTGGTTTACTATTTTAATGGTTTTCAAAATCTTCCAAAAATCTGTATTTATGAATAAGCGTAGGAAAATAAAAAATTTCTAATATTCCTACTGCTTTTCTTAATTCAGGCCTAAGTCCATTGTCAAATTTTATACACTTCATTATTTCATCAGGGTGATAAAAGAATACAGAGTATTTTCCTAGCTCTTCAAACTTAGAGACATATTCTCCTACTGTCATACTTCCTTGCTTTAATTGCATAAATTCAATTTCTTTTGCCCTCCTCACATCATTGGGAAAATATTTTTCTAAAAATTTTGTTCTAAACACCTCCCAAGTAATAATTATTCTTCCTCCTTCTAGTAATCTCTTGGTACTATCCCACCAATATTCAGTCTCTCCTATCAACATAAACACAACATAATTTACCTTTTGGTCATCACGACAATTCATAACTTGAAATATTTTTTCCAATTCTTTAATCCATAATTCAGCCTTTTCTGGGTTATAACCTCCAGAAAATTGCGGAGGTTTGTTTCTCCTAAATTCAACTAAACCTTGTGATCCATTGGTTCCTTCAGGTCTTTGGTTCCTTAATAATGCAGCGACCATGTCTCGGATAGCTTGTACCGCTTCTGTCAACTCATTATTCCTTCTATTATTTGCCATCTGTAATTATATAAGTTAGGATTCATAAGATATCATGATAGACTCATTTTACAGGTCACACATGAAACGTTGCTTCGATACCATCTAATATGACAATTTTTTTTATTATTATTTGTATAAGAGTAACAGGTAAAAAAAATATTACATATATGTAAAAGTAATTTACATCACTATATATATATATATATATAAGATATACAAAAGAAGAAGAAATTTTATTTTTGATTCCTTCTATTTTTTCTACAATTTTACAAATATCTACATTATTGGTGAAAACAAACTGATTAAGGGGTTTTGGAAAAAAGGTAGGAGACATACAAAAGGTGACCACTACTGGTCCATCTAACATAATGAGATTTCCCATATTAGATACAAATGTTATTATTGATAATTCTGTCCCTCTAAAAGTAACCGAGTTGTCTATAACATTCGTGTTCCAAGTAGTTCCTGCAGAGAAGGCAGTGATGCTTGCAGAAAAGGGATTTGAAATATTTGGCGCATCCATTTACTTAAGTTGATGTTTAAATAAAACATGCACAAAAAATCACAATAGGGAGTGAGAACATTTATCATTTACAATAATACAATCTTATAATATATAGATATATATGTTTCAACTTCCTCAACCCATTCTATTTTATGAATATTTAAATTAAATTTGTAGTGACTAGTAATGATAAATGAACCCAATTTAATCACTCTCACAGTGATATTTACTCATTTAAATCCCCAAGGTCCAACTTCCATCTACAATATCATCAAATCTTCACAAATAGATATTATTATATTTGAATAATATAACTATAAATTAATAAATAGGATCGCTGCATTACTAAAGATAAAATAAAGTAAACAAGCAGGACCAGTACATAACTGGAGATAATTAAAATAGGACCAGTGCAAAACTGGAGATAAAATAAAATAAACAAACAAGACTAATACATAATTGGAGATAATTAAAATAAGACTAGTGCAAGACTGGAGATAAAATAAAATAAACAAACAAGACCAGTACATATCTGGAGATAATTAAAATAGGACCAGTGCAAGACTGAAGATAAAATAAAATAAACAAACAGGACCAGTACATAATTGGAGATAATTAAAATAGGACTAGTGCAAGATTGGAGATAAAATAAAATAAGCAAATAACTAAATAAATAAAAAGAGGTTAGAGACAACTCACTCCACTACTATAAGTAAAATAAAATAGATTTAATGATAATATTCTCCTCTACTACCTTAAGAATTACAGATGATGTACCAAAATTTTGCAAGAGTGACTTATCTTTCTCTCTTTTTCTTCTTCTCCCTTCATATTTCTTTCTCTCTCTTTCCTCTCCCTTTCTTATTTCTTTCTTTCCTTCTCTCTCCTCTCTTTCCCTTTCTTCTCCCTCCATTTTTTTTTCTTTCCTCGTAAGTAATCCCTTCCCCTCTCATTTATAGGCATATTATTATTTTTTTTATTTTATTTTTATTTAATGAAGTCATTAAATGCATTAATGACTTGGATAAGTCTTAATCATTAAGATAAGTTAACCTTATCTTTCATTTTAATTTTTTTTGAGATATTACAATCCTTCAATATACCTATTAATATATTCGCCTGTTTCGTTATATTATTTCATATTTTAATATGTATTTATTATTTATTAATAATGTATTATTTGTCATTTTCCATAATTATTAACAAAGATTTACCACTCAAATAAAAAAAATTATAATAATATATGAAATAATATAAAAGAAGAAAAAAACTTTAACTTTAACACTTTTATATATTCATTTATTTTTAATTGAATAGTTAAAAAATCTTATTATTTTTATATCATCATATTATGAAAAATAAATAGTAAAAATAAGATGAATTTAATAATAATTTAAATTTAATAATATTACTAATTTAATCAATATTGATATAACGATAAAGAATAATAGAATTAATTTTACGGCTATAGTAAAAAATTACGTTAAATATTTTTAAATTAAGTAATAAATAATATAATAATATATTGTTTGCTTTTTAAAAATTAAACTCATAATAATATTTTTTTATTTATTGGATTTGTATATTATATTTTTTTGTTATTTTGATATTGATATTTTTTAAAAATTTCTTATAGTCTCTACGTACACAACTTTCAACTTTTTCATAAAAAACTAAAATAAATTAAACTAATAATAATTAAAAAGACATGTAGACGCTAAGAGATAATGTTTTTAGATGTAAGGATTAAAATAACGCAATTTTGTATTTATAAATGAAGTGAATAATTAAACTTATATTAAAATTTATAAAGAAACTAAAGGTATAATTAAATATACTCCTATTTAACATAAAGGAAACCTGTTAAAAGGAAACTAAAAATACAGTACACAAATATTGAATGAAATAATAATTGTGATTTTTTTTTACTTTCTTTATTATATTATTTTACATTTATGTTTATTTTTTCTCTATGTTATTGGTCATATTATGTAAAAATCAATTTATTTCAAATATAAAAAAATATATAAAATTTATTTTTCATCTTTATTATCTAATCACAATTTTAAAAATTAAATAATATTTATTTCTAATTACTACTACTATTCTTAAAATAAATACTTATATATATATAATGTTTTATTTTTTAATTTTTCTCTAAGTATATATATATTAAAAAGAAGTCATAATTATCATTTATATAATTTGTCTTTAATGTCATTCATACTTCATGTTCTACTCTTATATCACACTCTCTAATTAGTCACATTCCTTAATTAATCATCACTCTAAAGCTTTCTCTTTTATGTCTTCCTTTTCCACAGAAATCTCTATTTCTACCCTAATTCACAAAACAAGTGGTGTCACAATACACTTAATGTAAAAATATATACTTGGTGTGGTGGATCATGAATCTCACAGTAATTTTCATCATTCTACAAATACAAAAATATCTTCGAACTCTCAGTTCATAGATTTCAAACTCACCCAATCCATTTTAAATTTTGAACTGAACCCAAAAATTTTCCAGTTCAGAGATTTCAAACTGCACCTAACCCATTTGAAATTCCGAATTGCCCATTTCCCCCAACCTCAAAGCATCTTCTTTTCCAATCATCATTTCCAATGCTCCTTATCCTTTCAGTCTAAACCCTACCCACCACCATCGCCAGCACCAGACCATTTTAACCATGAACTCTCTCTTTTCGCCTGAAAACCTTCCTCCACCACCGGGATTCCCTATCCCCGCCTCAATTGCCGCCGCCACAACCACCACCAGCATCTCCCCAATCCCAACACTAATCCCAAAGCTCGAACCTTTCGACGAATGGCTCAACACCGACACTTCCCACCAACAACATCAAGAACAACAATATCAGGATCCCAATATTTCTAATGGGTCCCTGGATCTCGACCTCGATCTCGACCTCGACCTCAATCTCTTATGCGACAGAACCTCGGACGAGCCAACCAACAACTTGTTCTCCGAGTTCAACAGAATCTCCCAGCTTTTCTGCACGGCTTTCTCCACCGACGATCCCCAGAACGAGGCCGTTCCTGACCCCATCACCGAAGGCTTGCAACAGCTCCGAAACGACGCCGTTTCCGACCCTTTCGCTGAAAACCCGCAGCGCTTCCAGAACGGCGCCATTTCTGACCCCGGGCTGCAGCAGAGCCCAAACGACACCGTTTCAGATCCGGATTCGCGGGCAATTGTGCCTGTCCCGGATTCAACGATGGCGGCAACCACGCCGCGGCGGCGGTGTAAGGAGCTGGTTCGGGTTGCGGATCTTGGTCTGCCAGAGCAGAGGCACTTCCGGGACGTTGTCCGGCGGACTAGAATGATGTACGACTCGCTGCGCGTGCTGGCGACGGTGGAAGATGAGCGCCGGGTGGACTCCCGCCGGGGGCGCAGCGATTTGCGCGCGTCGGCCGTGATGAGGAACTGTGGTTTGTGGTTGAATCGTGACAAGAGAATTGTTGGTTCAATTCCTGGTGTTTGCATTGGTGACGTGTTTCTTTATAGGATGGAGTTGTGTGTGGTTGGGTTGCATGGTCAACCTCAGGCTGGCATTGATTATCTCCCAGCTAGCCTGAGCTCTAATGGTGAACCAATTGCCACTAGTGTCATTGTCTCTGGTGGTTATGAGGATGATGTTGATGAGGGTGATGTTATCACTTACACTGGCCATGGTGGCCAGGACAAGAATTCTAGGCAGGTTTTTCACCAGAAGCTTGAGGGAGGGAACCTTGCAATGGAGAGGAGTAAGCACTATGGGATAGAGGTGAGGGTCATTCGCGGAGTGCGGTATGAGGGCGCTGCCTCTGCTACTGGGAAGTTGTATGTGTATGATGGGTTGTATAGGATTATTGATTCCTGGTTTGATGTTGGGAGGTCGGGTTTCGGTGTTTTTAAGTATAAGCTTTGTAGGATTGATGGGCAAGCTAAGATGGGGAGCATGCTGATGAAGGAGGCGCTTATGCTTAAGAAGGATCCCTTGAGTTTGAAACCCATGTGTTGTATATCGCTTGATATTTCGAATAGGAACGAGAATGTGGCAGTTAGGCTTTTCAATGACATTGATCGTAATTACGACCCTCTCCGATATGAGTACCTCGTGAAGACAAATTTTCCTCAGTTTGTGTTTCACCAGAGTGGGAGAGGTACTGGTTGCGATTGTGTGGACGGGTGTGTTGAAGGGTGCTTTTGTGCTATGAAGAACGGAGGGGAGTTTCCTTATAATCAGAGTGGGATTCTCTTGAGAGGGAAGCCTTTGGTTTTTGAGTGTGGCCCATTTTGTAGTTGTCCGCCTCATTGTCGGAATCGAGTCACACAGAAGGGGCTGAAAAATAGGTTGGAGGTGTTTAGATCTAGAGAAACTGGTTGGGGAGTTAGGTCGTTGGACCTTATTCAAGCCGGCGCTTTTATATGCGAGTACACGGGGGTTGTGCTGACAAGGGAGCAAGCAGAACTTTTGACAATGAATGGTGATTCTCTGATATATCCTAACCGCTTTACTGATAGGTGGTCGGAATGGGGGGACTTATCTACAATAGACTCCAAATATGTGCGTCCATCTTATCCCTCTATCCCTCCTTTGGATTTTGCTATGGATGTGTCAAGAATGAGGAATGTTGCTTGCTATATGAGTCATAGTTCCACTCCCAATGTATTGGTTCAGTTTGTCCTGTATGATCACAATAATTTGATGTTCCCTCGCCTTATGCTATTTGCTATGGAGAACATCCCTCCGATGAGAGAGCTCAGCCTTGATTATGGGGTAGCCGACGAGTGGACCGGGAAGCTCTCTATATGTAACTGAATTGTTTTGAAAGTTTCATATACTTTATGATATACTTAAACCAAATCTCGGGCATTGTACGCAGAGGTAAAGCCAACTTCTTTCATCAACTTATTTGTTTTCAGAAATTTCACCATAGTCTTAGTCTGGTCTCGATCATGACCCGCTCTATTTTGTGGTCTTTCTTGCATCCTGGTGTATTTCAGATGACAGAAGTTCAATATTTATGGTGACTTTGATGATTGGGATACTTTGTTGTAGTATCTTACAACTGTAGTTTGTTTTCAAATTGATCAATAGTTTCTTCTACCTCTAGCAAAGCAATAAAGTCCAATATGTTATCGTGTATCTGGGTTTGTGTGCGGGCTTACTTCCATTTTGGGTGCTATTTTATTGAACATATGCTCTTAAAACTTCCCCTTTCTTAGAGATCCACTTTTCACATCATAAATTAGTATAGTGAATTACTCTTAAGACCTGGACCCCTAATTTTAAATTTACAATAGCCCCTAGCAATAGAGACGTCCTGCGCCAATTTGGGGATCTTGCTGGGGCAATTGCCACTTAATTGTTCATCTTGGTTCTTCATAAATATTTTGTGGACTCAGGAGTGAGTGTAGAAGTTCCTCATTTGTAATTAATGGGCTAAATGAAGGAATATGCAAGATAAATAACCCATAGACCTATTTAAGGTTTTGGGTTGGGATATGGTGTAAAACCTACAAGTGTGGTTTTTGTTTAGCTCACGAAGGAGATCTTCTCTGTGTTTTGGGCTTTCCTTGTTCTTTCAGTTCACTTGATTTTGTATTGTTTCAGTGTGTATTTTTAGAAAATTTGGGGTGAATTATGTCAAGATATATTTCAGAGGAGGGGCTAACCTGTGAGGGAATGTTTTCTGTTGTGGTTATTCTGACATTGACAAGTTAGTTAAGCCAGACACTGTTGTTGAGAATCATGTTGAGGAGTGTTGTTGTGGTGTGACCGAGCATGTTCTCTTAGAGGTACGTTGAATCTGATAGGAGAACTTGTAATTTCTATGGTTATATTTTAATTTAATAATGCTATCAGTTTCTTCGTTGTACTATTCTGCATGTTCTGGTGTTCTATTAGGCATCCCTAACTAGAAATTGATTTCCTAAGGATTTGGTATTTTTTGTGAACATGATATGATTTTGTGGATCAACAGTCATCAATTGTATCTGTTTATTGTGGGGCGGGGTGATTGTTGATAACACATCTTGGTAGATAGATAGGATTTTACGAATGAGATATATTAACAAAATACCTATTACTTTTTCTCCCACCAAAAATAATTTTCTTTTCATATTTACCGGTCAATTTGTCTGGGGTAAAAATTTTGGTGAAAATTTCTTGTATATGTCCTTTTTGTAAAGTCATATTGAATCCATCAATTTTACTCCAATTTAGGAAGTACGACATGTTAGACACTTTTTAGACTACTCTTGTCCCATATGCTTTGACACATGTTAGACACTCTTCAATTGTTTCACAATTGAAAAGTAATTTTTTTCTGCTTAGGTACTTTTTTGGCACGACTATAGTACGAGGAAAGAGAGTGAGCCGACACTTATTCATGGTTAAACACTCCTACCATAATAAGTAAAAAGAAGTCAACTTTATTATATGAAAATTGTAAAGCTTAACAATTTTGATTTTATTTGTCATATTAATTCTATAAACGGTGTTCCCAGGTCCTATATTTTGGACATTACCTGTGTCCTGTTATCCATATTGGTGTTATGTCCAATGTTCATTCATATTGGAGTTGGTGCCTCATACCAATGCACATGCAATAATATAACGAGCTTAAAAGGGGCTGAAACATTGATTAAAATTACTTACATATACATATGACTATTTTACTAAGTATATCTTTCTGCTATAAGCACTCCTAGAAGACAAAAATAAGAAAGAATGAGATGAGATTCTTCATTAGTTAAAATTAGTTTATGCATTAGTTAATTTGTAGAAGTTCTCTTATATGACTTCTCTAAATTCTTATTTTTGAATTCATGCACAAGTTAATTTTTGTTTATGGAGAAACTTATTTCATTTTTACATTATTTTTCTCAACTGTGGGACAGCCTGTCACCTTCTAATTGCTGCGACCCGCCTCCTTGTACTCCTCTATTTGTGTTCTGTGCCATCTGCCATAGGGATTTAATGTTGCAGTTGCCAAAACATTTTTCTCTGATTTCTGGTTTGATTTGTTGGGCCACAATTTTAGGTCAAATCAGCTTCTCTTTTTTGTTAGACATATACATGTAAATATATAATAAACTAAAGAATAATGGGTATTAACAATTAGGCTACTTTAGGTTCCTATAATTTCATGATTGAGCAGTTTTTGGCTCTATAAAACTTAATTGCATATTTAGTCCTTTAATTGGTCACCATAGTTTTCCTATTCTGTGGAATAAGATGTATGGTTTTTAATTGTTCCATTAAAATATTCTATATTAATGAACTGTTTTATCAGTTATTCATAGATTGTCTTTTCTAGATTTACAGAGGTTCTAATGTTGTATATATTTTGGTTTCAGAATCATCTCTTCGGCAATCATATTTGAATCTAGTCATGTATTAACCATCTAAAATATATTTGAATATAGAAGTTTTTAACATTGTCATCAAATCATATCGTATGTTTGGTAAACTTTGTTGCCTTTTGAAACAATTATTTTGAAAGTCATATCTAAGGTGATTTTTTATTAGTTGCAGTTTAAGAATCTGTTTACCGATAATGCATGAAGATTGATCTTTTTATCATAAAAGAAGATATCTAATTTGAGTTGATATTCTTTTTCAGATAGTCAGTCAAATTGATGCAGCCATGACTTTTACGCGGATTCAACCCTACTAGCCAATTTACAAGGAGCGGTAGAATTGCTTGCTCTATAATGGTATGAAGATATGAATTGATGTCTTTTACGTTATTCTGGTTTTATCTAACCGTCCATTGCTAGTACATGGTGCCCTTTGTGTAATTTTTGCACTCAGCATGTTCTGTAACTGGCCAAGAAGCACTTTCCCACTCACATTTTTGTAAGCACATTCTTCTTTTGGGTTACTTGTTTTGTATATAGTACAATTTCAAAGCTTGTATAGGTTTTGTAACAGGGACTGTCAACTATAGATGGATCAGATGCAGCACTTTAATGAGTTTAGATGTTGCTAATGATCTTGTATGAAAAAACACAATTATGATGAAAGGACAAGTTGTCTGTTTTAAATGTAATTCTATAACGTTGAAAACCTGTTGTCATCAATTCGTTCTGATGTATGTCTTTGATCAATTCGAAAAAGGTGTTGTTTTTATATTGTCAACTATGATATTTGGACCTGTTAATTATCACTGAAAACAGTTATTAATAGTGTTGAAATGTGTTCTGATTGTATATTATTTTTCTTAACATCATAAAACATGTTAATATATAATAAAAACACTTTTTTAACATCAAAAATATGTTTTTGCCGTGTATATTATGCATAATAAAGCATTTCCGTGAAATGTGTTTTGGTTACTAAGTGGAAAAGTGTAAGATTCTCTCACCATCATCGAAGTTCAATTAAAAGTTAGATTTGAATATGTTTGGCCCATTTAAACGGGCCAACTGTTAGAAAGAACAGCACCGTGTTAGTCTTGCTTATTCTGTATTGGCTCAAAATAATTTCTTCAGATTTAATTCGGCACTAGTTAGCAAAATTGTTGTGACAAAAACGATTTAGGAAATGAAGTCATTAGTATACAAATTAAATTAGGTTGAGTTAAGTTCATAATAAATATGATAGTAATTAAAGATGACAATTAAATTCGTTCATAATTTGTGATCTGTTTTACTTTGAATTTGATGGAGAAAAATTGAGTTGACTAAAAACAAGTTTGAGTCTTTTCCGTTTAAAAAGTTGGTGGTGGATGCAGGGATGGGTAATGTAATTACTTGTCTCGACTTTATATTTAAATTTTAATTTTAAAATATTAATATTTTAAAAATATTTTTTTATTATATATAAGATTTTTTTTATATTTTATCATTTTTACTTTTTTTATTCTATTTTTAATTATTTTGTCTTTTTTAATATTTTATATTAATTAATTTATTACATTATTATCTTTCTTCTACCTTTCAGTTTTTCATATTTCCTTAATCTCTCCAATCAATTTATATTTTTTCAATATTTTTGATAAATTTGATGAACACAAAATTAATTTTTTTGTTTTTCTTTATCTTTTTCTAAATATTTTACATAAATCTTACTTATAACTAATATTATTTCATTTATAATTTGTATTTATTAAGTTTTATTATGTCATATTTTTTTGATCTTATTATTCTTATTTGTTATATATCAAATTTTATTTTAATAAAATAATTATATTTTAAAAGATTAAAAAGAATTGATAATTTAAACTTTTAATAACTAATTAAATAAAAATCAACTTATTAAATATTTCCTTACAAATTATATATTTTATTTTTTTGAATGACAACTTAAAAATGAATTAATTTACCTATGTAATCAAATGTTTAAATACAATATAATAATAATAATGTTATAAATATTTCATAAAATTAATTTATTATAAATATAATTTTTTTTAAATTATATAAATTGAAGAGAGGACGAAGACAATAAAAATCAAAATCCAACGAAGACAAGAATAAATATTTAACTTCAATGGAAAAAAACGAAAATGATTAAAAAAGTTGAGATAAAAAAGCAAGAGACAAAATCCACTATCCCACCTCATCGCCATGCTAGTGATGCATCAGGTGAAGATTTGAATAATCACTAAAAGAGATTTTAATCCTTAACTGTGTTCGACCATTGAATAACATTATCACCGTAGAATTATATATAAAAAAATGAGTTAATAAAAACCTTTCTTTTTCAAGGAGTTTTACTCATCAACTTGTTCATTTCAACCAAACCAACTCACCTTTAAATTTAAGTTGGACTCGTGCATGCGTGAGTGATAATGCCAAGAAAAAAAATATAAATGTCTTATCCGCTGCAACATGAAAGCAAAAGTGTCTTAGAACTGGTTGTTATAGACCCATTTTCAAGTCAATGAGATAACTTAAAGATTTAATGCAGAAAATTTTTGGAAAAATCTAAAAAGAAAAGTACAACGAATAGAACATATAAATATAATTATGCAAATAGATGGTGATAAACTAAATAAACAACACAAGTACAAAGAACAAAATAAATGCAAAGACGGTTGCTGGTAAATATAATTGAGAGCATATGCATAAGTACAATTTTTATATATGGTGAATTCTAAATTGTTAATATGAATCAATTTAAAGGCATTGGGAATCTCAGCCATATATATTGAATGTGTTTTATTTGTTTTTTTTTATGTCACACTCTTTTATTCTAAAGTATTTTTTAATAAATAATAAAAAATACAAAAAATAATGATAAAAGGATTTACATATATCATTTCTTTATTTAATATTTAAAACTTTACAAAGATAAAAAATAATATATTGAAATAAAATCTCTTTCACAGTAGAGTCATCTTTACTAAACTTCAAAAAGATTCTCAAAATAAAATTAAAATAAGTATATGATCTCTTTATCCTAATGTCAGTTAACTAGAGCATCTTATAAAATAAATAAAAGATCTTCTTTTTATCCAAAATTAGTTCACGTGTAAAAATATTTAACTCAAACAAATAACACAAACAAAAATAAAGGAGTGAGAAATATATCTCCCAAAATTCGAGTAGAATTAAACACGTATAAATATTGCCTTATTAATATATACCCAATCATAAATACATAAATATAACCTTATCAACACATACTCAATCAAAAACTCACTTAAAACTTAAATAATTCAATTGATAGAATTAAGCATCACCCAGTAACATATACTTAATGATAAACTCACTTTGTTAACTCAATGTATGAATGCTCTTATATCTATCTCTCTCTCTCTCTCTCTCTCTCTCTCTCTCTCTCTCTATATATATATATATATATATATATATATATATATATATATATATGTGGTATCACACAATGCATGAAGTAATCTAAGAGTACATGAATAATATTGCAATGACCTTATCAATTTACTTTCAACTAGAATGAGTCTATAAGAGCCCGTTAGGATAATATAGTTAACCGTAGTTGACTCTCGTCTTATTCAGAAATGAGGTCCCCTACTCTATAATCCCCAATACTAAGGAAAAAGATCATAACAATCATTCTTCATAGATCACATCCACCTCCAAGAAAAGTATGAATAAATAAAATATGTACATATAAATGCATTATACACAAATGCATAATCTATCTTAAATGATCAAACATAACTTGAATTTTCATACTATTAAGTCATTGCTTAGACTTTCACAAAACACACAAGTAATTCTCAAGCACATCACAATAATTCGACTTATTATAACTCACAAGTTTTACAAAGCAAAATACAAATCCTTATACATAACATCTATTCACATAAATAAGTCATCATCACACATATCAAGATATAACCTTATACATACTAATATACATAAAGTTTACATATGAAAAGTCAATA